GTTCAAGGTGATAAATAATGACTTTGATGGATGTGAAAAAATCATAGAGCAAGCTTCCAAAGGTAAAGTTGTTTGATCAACAGATGTTGGTCTATATATTTTTGTTTTCACTGACTTGCCATACTTATTAATTCCCTTTCAGTCTTTGGTTGTAAAGTCATTTTTACTTTCTATGGTGCATACATGTATCTCTAACAACTGAGTGGCACACAAACGTACAGTGTAATCCCATACTGATGATTTTCCTAATTCTTGTGACCCATCTGCGGGATAGTTATTATTGCTTTAATTGCCGGGTAAAATTAGATTTTGTCAGATCATTCTAACTTGTGTATAAAGAGCGTTACGTCTGCAAACACACTTTGGTTCAAGAGTACTACTGTAGTCCTTTTATCATGGTCAATGAAAGCAAATGTCTCTCCTGTAGAAGAAGAAAAGAGAAAACAGGTCATTTATCATTGGACATGTATGCTTGCACACAAAATTGTTTTCTAAACCAGCATTTCTGTTTATTTTTCTGCAGATTGTTTCTTCAGTTATTATATCAGTCAACAAGACTATAAGCCTAAATGGACATCAATTATTCCTCTTGCTCAAGGTATGTTTACCCTAATGCCTGCCATCCTTAAACTTCAACAATTATTATAAAAATATTATGCATGTATTAATGATTGATTAATTTGAAATTTGACTCCAGATAGTCCAGTACAAGAGTAAAGGACATGTATACTGCTCTTGTCAATAACAGGCAAAAACTCAGTTGTTCAGTGAATGGTTTCATGTTTCACTGCCATCGATTACATGTATCTTAAGTAGCAGACTTCTCAGGAAACAGAAGTTTACATCTTGAAACACATTGAAAAAATAACATCTGTAGGTTGTGATTGGTAGTATTTGATTCATTTTGTTCTTTCTTTTATTTCAAGGTTTGTTGGTTGTTGTCATAAATGATGGCAGCCTAAACCATCAATTGTTCTTAAGTTAGGCTTTGAACCTCAGAGCTTGTATGTTATTGGAAGGAACAGTAAATGTACTACATACAGTTGATAGTGATACTGGAGGTGCGGTGGCCTCATGGTTAGTGCACATGACTTCAGATCAAGCAGTCTGGATTGGAGCACTAGCTGGGTACATTGTGTTGTGCCTCTTTCCATCCAGGTGTATAAATGGCTACTGGTGAATTTAATGCTGGGGTGTAACCTTGCAATAGACTTGCATCCCATCTGGGGGGCGGGGGG